ACGGTGTGTCGGTCGAAAGGGTTTTTCGAGGTCTCTTGAGAATCGTCATGTACATACATATATAGCCGAACAGTAACCTATATATATATATATGGCCCGACACATACATCATCATACGCTGCAGGTATATGTATAATACGTACCTCGGTAATACACCTCGTGGTCATTTATATAAAAGCTCGTTTTTACATAAATATGCTGATTTACGTATATAGTAAACACACTTATAGGTAGATATATATATATATATATCATATAATATGTAGGTGATGCTGCAGGTGCGTCTTTGGTAGCAAAAACGGCAATTTCGTTAATTGCTCAACGGTCTATACGTGAATATATTGTATGTGTAATAATAAATGCTCTTATATAATGCGTTCGTCATCGTTAAAAAATACTATATGGGTAATGGGTATATACGAGTACCATTCATAATTATCTGTCACCATCTATACTTAAATAACAAACTCTATTAGATATAGGTATATATTCATATTTTTAATCGTTTTTCAGCAATGACAACGACAATATCCAATCAATATTTAAGCGCGTCCACCATCAATGTAGAGATCTTTAAAAGTGGTAAAAACTACTTTTTTCAAACAAAACCTATATTTTTTAGTTTAAAACGTTAAGCGGAAAATTTTTTTGAAAATAATAAATAAAATGGTTTTATTTTTATTCGCTCTTTTTTGTATTTTTCTAATATTACCTTGTATTTTTGTTTACTGTATTGTATCTATAATGCACATATCTTCTGTCATTTAAATTAATTTTATACCATCGTAAAAAGGGCTTAGCCCATAAAATATAATATAATAAACAAATAAATAAAATATTTTTACTATATGACTATATAAATTAAAATTCAAACAAGTATTGCCTATCTGTCATTCTAAATTGTAAGCACATTATATTAAATTCGTACTAAAGATAATAGTTCTTTTAAAATGGTTTTACAAAAATAAAAGCAGATGTATAAGATTAGATCAAATCATTTAAAATATTTTATTATCCACTCAGACGATTTTACAAGCTATTAGGTAATTGTTGCTGATAGATAAATTTTAATATAATATCTTCCAAATCTATTGCCTCCAATTATTACCGATTTTTTATTCTTATAGTACCTACACAAGGTTAATAACTAAAAAAATATATTCTTTTGATTTTAATTTATAGATAAGTACATTTAAAAAAAAAAGCTGCTATATGTGCTAAATATATATATACGAGTATATAAAATAAAGGGTAATTCTCAATTTAGATAAGTAAATCTGTATTTACGCCCTACGATATTCCTTAAATGGTATACATAAAGATCTAGCTTTTATAATCAATGATAATATAATATACAAATGCAATTAAGTTTTGATTACGTATAATATATAACAGTTCTTTAAATCACCATTTTATATTATTCTATACGAGTATACATATATGATATATATTTTAATATATTTGTTGAAGTTTATAAATAAAATATAACCTATAGCAGAAGTTTCCAATTAATTAACATATTGCTCTCTTTTTAAGTATGTAAAAATTCAAGATTCTCCACTTTCTAACACATATTAAAAAAATATTTTGCAACCTAAACATATAATTATGTAGTATATGCCTATTGGTATCAACCAATTATAGGCCACTTTTATCATACCTTTTTATTGTTTTTAATTTAACTAAATTTCACCTTTATGGCTCTATATAAGTGTTTTATGTATAATATATAATATAAAGTATACAATACACATTTACTGCATTATATTTTCTATTGAATAATTGTGTTCTCTTTCATAATAATAATATTTTGTCAATATATATATCAACACAACTTCCTATATGCATGGTTTCTTCATTTATAAAATATATACTCATTGTTTATTATTTATATAATTATTATTTTTCACAAATAAAAATATATTTGAAAATGAATTTTCTTAATACCTATTACAAATATAAAATAGGTGTATAATGTATATGTGTGTGTGTGTGTGTGTGTGTGTGTGTGTGTGTGTGTGTGTGTGT